TGTCTCTGGCCCTCACATTCCTAAACTAAAGCTCGACTGGCCCTCGGGTAAAGGTTGGACCACACTGCCTCAGAAAATAAAGTTTACTTCTAGATTTGTTTATAAATTTCAATAAAGGAAAAATAACAAGGAAATATTAATAATGATAACAGTTTTAGGACATAAATATTTTTATTTGCTGAAATTAATATTTTGTATGATAAAAATACACATATGCCTTCACATTAGTTATCTGCCTATATTTATCAGAAGCTCAACTCAAACCACTCTGAAAACAATCACACAGTCTTCACGGCTTTCAAAGTCATAATTTAGATGGATCACAAAGAAATGAATAAAGTGATAAAATACTAAGCTGCAACAAAATCAGTCAGGGAGATTTAAATCTTGTTTCAGTTGCCATAGCCAATTCTGACAGTAACACTGAAGTGAAAATACCAAAAGACAAAACAGTACTACAAACTGATAAGCCAAGTACAATCAGAAGAATCAACATGATGCTGAAACACAAGGTTTGCACATACTAAATTTCTCTCATTGAGCAATACATTTACAGTACAATACCTCATAGTATAACATTTTCTTTAGAATAAAGTAAAATCATAATCAACCATAGCAGATATATACGAAGTAAAATTTGTAGTGGTAAAATTTTTGTACTAAGGTGCATAAGCAAAAGAAAAAAATTTTCAAAGTTCATTACCAAACAGTCTGGAGGGGGGGGGGGAATCTATCCAATTTTAGATTATTCCAATACAGCAAAGCTCTGAGGGCTATGTCCCTAAGATGAGGGGTGCCTTTGTCGAAGAAACTGGCCCACATTCATGTAACAGATAAGTAAAACCATGAAAAACATCCCATTTACCTGGGATCAAACCCAAACTAGGTCGAATTGTCAGTATTCAGTGGTCTTAAACTACTCAACCACTGGTTCAGCAAAATCTAGGTTTAAGGAATGTCAGGAAAGTACCACTTTCTTAGATGTTTATGCTACATAAAAGCTTAATAGAGAAGGTATGAATTGTATTTCATGGTTGCTCTTTCAGTTTCTGCCACTAGTCACCTTACACCGACGGCCAAGTAATTCCAAGCTCTATAATTTTATACTACAGCTATATACTATGAGTAATTACTTATTAATATACTAATAGTACTTTATTTTTATATTATATACTAGCATTGTAGCTTTTCTTCTGTTAACAAAGCATAGTTGCCAACTCACTCCAAAATATGAAAAATAAGGGTTTTTTTTTTTTTTTTTTTTTTTTTTTTTTTTTTTTTTTTGTGTGTGTGTGTGTGTGGATGTGACACCATTTTAAAAGAACTCCAAATTGACTTAAACTCACTTTATAATGAATGATTCAGATTACTGAACTATTTATAAATCATTCTGATGCAAAATTTAATATTTAATTATATATTTATACAAACATTTTACCACTACAAATTTTACTTCATATATATCTGCTATGGTTGACCATGATTTTACTTTATTCTAAAGAAAATGTTATACTATGAGGTACTGTACTGTAAATGTATTGTACAATGAGAGAAATTTAGTATGTGCAAACCTTGTGTTTCAGCATCATGTTGATTCTTCTAATTTCATTTTGCAACTTCCTTACGCTTATAAACTGAGAAGATCCTAAAGGGGGAAGGAAAACTTTTATTTATAAATGTACTTTTAAATATAATAAAAACAAAATTAATAGTTAACCTACAAATCATGGTACAAAAAAACTTAGTAATGTACTATATATTGATGTACACAAAATTAAATACAATTATTAACTAAAAAAAAAAAAAAAAAAAAAAACAAGGCTTTTTTCCAGGAGATGTGATGAAAAACTTGGGAGTCTCACAGTAAAACCAAGAAATTGGCAGCTGTGACAAGGTAACATCCCTCTTCAGAAAACAAGAGACTGATGAGCTTACATGAGAGAATGACAGGCAATTGCGACAGCACTACATAATTTAAAGAATAGCCCTTTTGAGGAAAATACAGAGAGAAATTATTAATGTTTTGCTTCCCTATTTATTCACATAGTAATCTCATTTTAGTACACCTTCATATTAATGTATTTTATAAAAAAAAATTCAGCACTAATAGATATCCAATAATTTTATCACATAATGAATTATTCTGTATGAAAATTTTGCTCGATATTGACTAGCATAATAATTTCATACTGATGCAACTTCAAATTACTGAATTTCATTCATAAGATTAAAAAGATGTTTGTTCTCAGAAAAATCCAAATACTTTAGTCATATAGTGAATAATATTATAATATGCAAATACTATTAGCTGCACTCTCTACAGTTTCATTTCAGAAAAACTGATGATTTTCCATATAGCCACATTTTACTGTTGATCCAAATACATATAAAAAATATAAGATAAGAATTGAACTCATATTTGGAAATAGTTTTAAAATGACATTGACATAACATTCAAGAACACATAATATTCTCAAACTATAAATGGGTTTCTGATAACTACCAACTTTTAGACAAACCATAATTCATTTCTATTACTTCAAAATAATATTAAATCACAAGTAGCATAATTGAAGCTTAACATAGCACCAGAAGTGCACATACATTTACACATCTTCCTAAAAATAGTATAATCCTGTACTAGAATATGATATACAATAAAATGCTTGAGCATTAGTCACAAACATTTCTTTGTTCCCAAAAAGTAAAGTAGCAATGATTTCTTTTAAAAATATATATACACCTTAATTGTAACATGCTACTACACAAGTTATCAGGTTCTGACATAAGCTGATCCGAATATATCAGTTGAGTTCTAAAAAAGCTAAAATCTATACAACATTTTGTATGTGCTTACAACTTCCAACAGTTAGCAGAAAGATATGTACATTTATAGTATCAAATCTGCCATTATCACTATCTCTAGACACTCCATTCTTAAATCATATGAAACAAATTTCAGTACTTTTCTATTTTAAAATTCTTTTTAAATAAATAATAAACAATAAATGAAATTTGATTTAAGAATGGTTTCTCTCAATAAAACTGATATATTCATCAAGTAAAAACATTAAACATATAATATTGTTTTAGTACATGAAAACTGTTGTCCAATTTTTTTTAAACTAATATTAAAAAAATTTATACTGGTTAACATTTTTAGTAAAAGATTAATTATGTGAAAAAGACAAAATTTCTCTTTTGCTGCATAATTTTATAGTTTATTTTATTTTCCTTTTCAAAAAAAAAAAGATTAATAAAAGTCAGTTTCACAAAATGAAGCAAAACAAAAAAACAAAACAAAAAAAAAAAAAAAAAAATCATCAAAATTACTGCCTTCTGTAACTGCAGACACATGAAGAATTACAAATAATTAATAAATATAAATATATTATAAACAATGAAGTTGAGCCATAAACTTCACTGTTTATGCCTAACTTCATTTGCAAACTGAAAATGAAGTTCCCATTATAATCGTAACAATTTTAATTTTCAAAAAGATTCCATACAAATTTTCATACAACATTTCAGACAATTACTTGTATATCTAAACATCTAGATCAGCTAAACAAGAACTTATGAAAAATAATTTACGCAAATTGATTAAAAAATTACAAGCAAATAAATTGAGAGTATCCAAGAGAACAATAATTTCAGCATACATATTAGTTTTTAATCTACATGACTACATTTTGTTTTCATGGATGATATCCATTTAACCAGATACAACTAAGGACCATATAAAAATAAATAAACTCAAAATACAAAGAATAATCACTTACAAATAATAAATAAAGTCTTTTTAGGTAAAATGTGACCTGTGCAGATGGAAAACTTAATTCAAATTTCAAGCCTAATTTTTAAAAATTGTTGAATTAATTAGTGACCTGTCATTTTATAAAAAGGTCTGTGAAATTAGGAGAAATATTTTCAATGCATTATTTATAAAATAAGATTAAAGAGTTAATGAATTTAATGTTAAAAAAGACTAGTCTTGAATATTATTACTATTATTTTTAATTAAAATATATCACTTATACTTTCATTAAAATTATTTCTGCAAAAATGTCTAGAATAAAAATAATACAAAACTTTTTTTAGATATTTTTTTGATTTTTCTCAATACAGAAAATTTATTTGGGACTAAAAGACTAAGTTTCTTGTGACATGTGTCTTGCTTCCCCTCAAAAATAACTACAGTCAAAAGTCGTTAATCCGGACTCGTTAATCCGGGACTTCGGCGATTCCGGATTATAGATCATCAGTTTAAATCTCGTAAGATGGCATGCAGAAATTCTAAAATTAAAAATATGAAACCGTAATTTATGAAATAAAGAACAATTATGATCTAAAGGGTATCAAAATTTACAAAAAAAAAAGCTTACTATTTATTTGTTTACTTTATTAAACATTTCTTTCAATGTAAGTTGTTTAAGTTGCTTAGATTTTGTGATAATACTTTCTCTTTAATTCTATAAACAGACATAATTTCTTTTTCAGTTACGAAGTTCCGCTGTTCAAGTCCCGTAATTGCCGTGCCGAGAATACCGACTAACTTGTCAATCGAAATTTTTTCGTTTTCACTAACCTCTCTGTCACCTTCTTCATGTCTTTATCCATTTTTTGCAGCAATTCCACTTTTTGTTTGATGGACATCGAAACATACTTTCGTTTTGTAGATCGTTTGGGAGCTCCAGCATCGAAAATTCTATTTGATATAATCGAAAGTTCAAGTTTACTTTTATAGTATTGCTCTTACAGTCTGCAAAAAATAATAAGCCGGATCCAATTCGAAAATTAAGGAACAACACAATCATCAACATTAACTGAATTAGATAATTTTAGCTTATTCCATCCGTTATACATAAAACGCGCACGCATATGCGCAGACGTAAAAGGTCTTACGCGCACGCGTAAACGCCTATGCGCATGTGTCAACGTGGTGCATGCGCAGAAAGTTTTTAGCTTTGAGGTCCCGATTATAGATCATTCCGGATTATGGGTGTCCGAATTAACGACTTTTGACTGTAATTGGAAACACAATATTTAAAAATAAATAATAATAATTAATATTATTATAAACCATATTTACTTCTCATTTTATAATTTAACAATTAATAAGGATTTCTCACAGAATGGTGAAAATGAATACAACTACTAATGTGGTTTTATAAAAAGACACACTGCATTCTGTGTTGGTTTTATGCAATAACTGCATAAAAGTATGGCTTTATTCGTGAAAGAACATGCTGGCTTAGGAAAGTTTTGCAGAATGTTTTGAATGCTTATAAGAATTATATGACAGGAAATATATAAGTATACCTGCCTAAATAAATAAACAAACATAGTCTCATATTTTAAACCTTTCACATCAGCCAGTACACGGGACAAACCTTGATACTTCAATACTTCTGTCACAGAGAAACATAAAAGTTCATACAACACAGATAGTAAATCTAACAGTTAATTAAGTGACCTGATGAATACAAATGATGATAAGATAAAAGAGATCATAGTATTTCTCCAAAATTCGAGTCCACTTATTTCCCTCTACCAAATTTTCAAAACTCAGCCTAACACTGTCATTAGCACCATCTTTTGACACTTCTAATACATTTGCTACTTCTTTAATTCTGGAGAGTGAAACTGCAATATATATATGTTAATTCTATTTATGTGGTCTGTGTATGTATTATATCATGCTTTCTTTTAAGAGTTACGTGAAATGTTATATGTATTTTAATCATTATTTGATATACGATATGATATGATAGTTCTAATCCATCCTCAGGAGACTGGGCAATACTTAAACACTTCCCAATATAAAATTTATGACTAACAATTATTTTTTAAATTATACCATTTCAGCTTGCAAAAATTTTCACTGGAATATTTCTCTATCTTCATAAACGGAGAAACCAATGTACACATTAGTAAATAATGCTTAAAAAAGCAAAAGAAAAGCCATTTAGTATACACTACTTATATATGTTTCTAGGTTAAAGCAAAGCATAAGTCCTTTCAAAACATGCAAATTTTTCAGAACTTAGCCAAATACTATAAAGAATCTAAAACAGATTCAGAAGATTTGGTCTATATTTTCACACAAAGAATAAAACTAGGATTTTATTATCTAGCACACCTGTAACAAAAAATATGACAAACTCCTACCACACCCATGCAATAGAGATAGCAAATTTAACAGCTACTGTCACTTTAATTTTCATTTACAAGGAACTGTAAATTTATATACATTTTTACATTGTATTTATAATAGTAGCATATATTTTTTATTTGCTTTATTATTTTATCAATTATTTTCTAGCATGCATCAACTGATTTTTTCAATCATTTTCTAGCATTCTTCAACTGATTCATCACCAGCTCTGTATCAACTTATTTAAAAGCATTATTATGAATAAGATATCAGCTTAGACTCAATTTTCTTCAAAAACATACCTGAAAACTTCAATTAATTTGATATTTAAAAAAAAAAAAAAAAGAATGCAAGCACGCAATAAAAGCAAGTGAGAGTAATTTTTCGCCTCAGACAAAGCACCATACCATTTCACAAAATAATTATTATAAAGTGATTTATTTTCATGCTGTAAACACTTGAACATTCACCTGTTATTATTTTACATTAAATCTTTTCCTCCTATTGCTATTTCTAGAGATCTTTACCGTGTTGCAAAGCATTTCACTTCAGAAAAAAAGCATTTTATTTTTCTGTGCTAATAAAAATACCCAGTTTCTTTTCAGCAAACAAATTTGACTATAACTCATTTTCGAGAAAAAACAAATTTTTAAGTACATGCATGTCATGTAAATGATAAAATTCACATGCCAATGAATCTTACAGTATTGAAGATGTATGGACTAGTATGGAAGATATTTATTTCCAAGCCTTCTTGTCTCTGAAAATTAATCTACATCAAATATCCCACACCTTCAAAAGAGGAACCGTTTCATTTTACCTAACTATCAATTATTCTCTATAGATATTTTTAAGATAATTTTGAAATTTTGTTCATTCATAGTAATTTCAATTTTTTAAAAATTCAAATTTATTTTTAAATTACATTAATTTTTGCTGTTACTTCAAGCAAATACTTTGACCTTACATCAATGTTATGCAACCCTAATTTAAAGATACTTTTCTATAAATTTCAATGCTTTTTCAATGATACATTAAAAGTAATGGGAACCAAAATGTAATCTTTGATCAAATCAAAATATGCATAATGTATGAAAGCCATATATCATAAATTTAATTACATATTGCTAAAAAAACAAAAATTAACAGAAAACACTAATATACATACACAGGTTTAAGAAATATAAGCGTGATTGTGAAACCTGAATGAAAATAAAAAGAAGGGACATAAACATGCATGTGATGTAATAGTACTAACATACTTAATACTGATTTGCATAGTAACATAAAGCTAAAAAATAGTAATGGAATGTCTTATATATGTAAATGCTAATGCTTTTTGCAACTGAATGTTTCAGTACATGAAAAACACACCTTAACATCAAATTAATTTGGATGTCAGTCATTTTTTATAACTAATGAAAAAATTAATGCACAGCATTACCATAAATCAAGCATCATAGTAATAATCCATCCATAGCATCATAGTAATAACTTTGCTGAATTTATCTCAATAAGTAACATAATATTATCACATTATTAACCCTTAACCAATAACCTTCATTACCTGTTATGCAATCTAAAATGTGTATCTGAGAAGCTACATTTCTTAATGAAAAAATAAATATATAAAACCAAACATAAACTCAAAATTTTATAAGAACCAAATAAAGTAAATATATGTTAAATATTAAAAGAGAATAAACAGGCATATAAAAAGGTGGGGGAGGAAATGCAGCAAACCATTAACTGAAAATATGTGTAAATAAATGTTCATTTTCAGTTTTACAGTATGAAATATAAATAAAAACTATCCTTGTATATTTTTTGCTACATGTTTCATAAAAGTCTGATAAACTGATAAACTAAAAATGATGAAAAATCCAACAAAGAGATTGGGATCCAGCAAGAATCATTTTGCAAAGCATTTATTGCACACTGATTTTGTGCACTGTTCACAGTGCAAGCATAAATAATTTATCACTTGAAAAATATGGCATATTTTACATTTTTATAGGCTTTTATAATTTAAATGATAAATTTTCACTCAACATGAATGAAAACATGGCATCTCAAAAGCTACTTATGAAGATGATTTACAAATACAAACAGAGATGTGGTTGTCTTTAAAGAGTATTTATTCTCAGTCTTTCACCTTGAGAATGGCTAAGTGGTAAAGTCTCTAAACACTGGTAGTTCAGTTCGGGATTCAAATCCTAGCAAATGGGTTGGCTCTATGGGCATTTTCATGATTTTCCCCATGTGTATTATGTATATGAGCCAGTTTCCCTTTGAAAGTAATCCACAAAGGCATCCCTCCCCTTAGGCAGATAGCCCTCGAGTACTAAATAAACCAAATCAGTTTTGATTACCAGTTTGTCCGAATATATCAAAACTTAGGTGAAATAGCATAACCACTGAATTCGTTTAGGGGATGTTTTTTGTGTGCGTGTGCTAAAGTCTGACAGACACTACATTACTGGTTAAGGGTTAAGTAAGCATAAATTTTTAAATGCAAACAAATATGTCAAAAGCAATAATAAAATGCAATGTTACATCTAAATAACTATGTTTATATGTAACACATAAAAAACATATATAAAAGCTAAACTTTTTTAATTATTAGACAAAATAAAAAATCTTCAATTACTAGTACTATTTTAAACTATATGCAACCAATAAGACTGCAGATATTCCAACACATTTAAATATGTATTATCTAAAGAATCCAGTTTTTTATACATTTAATATATCTATGTGTCAGATGAAGAGCAGCAAACAAAAATCTCATTTACAAAATTCCTTTTTAAAGATTATAAATAAATCTGAGAGCAGATATAACCAAATAAATTATTGTGTAAAATGTCAACATATATTCAATAACCAAATAAAAATGAAATCACTCGACAGACCTTATTTAAATCCAGATAAGCAATGCTGAAAATTGATTAGCAAATTTAATCCCAGCATAATAGCATTTTAGAAACACAATATAAAAATAAGGAAAGCATAAATACAACACTATCATCCCACCATTAATATTACAAGGTCTTTACAAAAGACAAATACAAGTAAGTGTCAATGACACAGTTATCACAAGGAATGAGCAAAAAGTTTTCATTTTTCTTTAATCTGCACCAGGCAGATTTAAATATCTAAATATTGAAATCATTTCAAATGATTAAGGCGCCAGCATCCTTTCCAATTTCGTATGACTTAAGCACCATTTTCTACCTGTAAAAGAAACTGCATATATCATTCAGAGTGAAATGAAAGCACATTTTATTTATGCTACTATTAACTTCAAATGCATGTATTGCATATAAGCATATTTTTACTATATTTTTCTAAATCATTCATAGAAATGAAAATATTTGCCTTTCTAGTTCAGTATATGACAGGTAATTTTTTACTTCTACATTTATTTACATCTGGCTTCTTATTTCTTTTGTTGAAGAATGTTTAAGGCGGAGGATGTTTTCCTTAATAATAGTTGACAGATAATATTTAATTTCTTTAAAGCTTATATTTGATTTACTGTGTTTCCATCTTTTGTTGATGTATGTTTAATAAAGCAAATATGCATCAAAATCATGCATTTTATACCAGATTTTAAAATGTTGGTATGCTTCAAAAAATTAAGCCTTATAATATAAGGTACAGCATGATGATATGACAATACAAAATGGAATATAGGCATACTACATTAAGAAAATACTTTATTGAAATTTTATTCAGACATCCACATCTTAAAAATTACACCAGAAAAGTAGTTTCCACAACAATGCACTATTAGAAATTGAAATACTGCAATTTATTAAAACATATTCATACCTTAGATGTTACATAAAAAGGAGACTTGCACAATTGCAAGCCACCTTCAAGAAGGCAACACTTTCAGTACATTCACGCTTGCAAGACTGCATTACAACTATGCAATCTTGCAAGCATGAATGCAAGTTTTACTGAATAATTTGCAACACAGATAGTTCAAGAATATACGTTTGACAGTTAACGAATGAGTACGACAGTTAACGAATGAGTGACAGTTAACGAATGAATATACGAATGAGTTAACGAGTGAAGAATTTGACAGTTAACGAGACAGATACTGTGACACTCCTGGTTACAGAAGTCAGGTATTAGAAGGCATGATATGCTACCTGATATACCCTATTATACCTTGATATACTCTCACAGAAAATGTCTGGCTTGTTAAATAAGTCAAAACAAGCATATATATATCTCCAAAATGCAAAATCAAGTGACTAAAGGATGTCTCTGAAGAACACTCCTACTCATTTTTACAGTATGTGACAAATGTGGAAAGAAATTTTGCTAGAACATTTTGTGCAATTCAGATCAAAAGAATGTGTCACACATACTACAGTGAGTGTTAACACAATTTTGGAGTAATTTTGATACAGGATTAAAAAATATAAATGTTGCGAAATAAAAATTTCTGGCATCAGCATTGTAAATTGAAATGAAAAATATCATCTGCTACCTTAACATTTATTCTTCTTTCAGTATATCACAAGTAAACAAGCTGTGGATTGAAGGATATGTTTTCCCTTTTACAAAGAGAAATATTTTTATTTCTCAATTCAAAAATCTCTTACTTGGTATTAAAACCACTAAGTACGAAATAAGCAACATTATTAATCAAAGAGCAAAAACTGTCAATCATTACTTTTACAAGTAAAGAAAGCTCTAAATGAATTTTTTAAAAAAATGTACATACTTTTTCTAATGCCTATAAAATGAAGCCCCTAACAACAATAGAAAAAGCTCTTAATACAGAAATCGATTTTAAAGTCTTTAAATACATCATCAACAACAATAAACAAAGATTTCCAACTTAAGCAAAAAAGAATGTTCATCAGCTTTTGCTGAAACATGCAGTGGAACAAAAAATATGTTGTAGAGCCCAATAAAAATATCATAACCTTTGATGATTATTATAAACAACCAAGAATATTCTTGCCTCAATTTTAGTAAGAAAGTGAACAAACACCAACTGAAAACAAATATGAGAGAGCTCCCTAATTATTATCCCCATATAAACTCAAAACATATGTCAAATTTCCCAAACCATCTGCCAGTTCTAGCAACATCACTCATATTTCTCTCATCAGAAGAAATCTAAGCAGGCATATGTTACCATTTTTTTTTTCCAAAAATGTTAACAATTCACAATCACTTACATTACATAATTATATTCACATACTGTGAATAGGTGGTCCATCTTAATATATTTTATTTTTTCAAAAATATGTTGGTAATTTTTTATTCATAACCATCTGAGGAAGCTGCTTCAAAGGCAAAAGCATTTTCTTTCACATTCAAATACATGAAAATGGCCATGAAGTAAGATTATAACTGGCTTCTAGCAATTAAATATACTATGATAAATTATGAAGCCTACTGCTCACAGTACTGGCAGATAGTGTCTTATCACATAATGCTGCAACCATGGATATAGCAGTTATGGAGGTCACTCAATTCACATGGCAAATCTTGGCAAAATCCAGTAATACACTAATCCCCCCCCCCGGAAAAAAGTGTTAGTAACCCTTGAATGACCGGGTACAGTCAAAAGTCGTTAATTCGGACACCCATAATCCAGAATGAACTATAATCTGGACCTCAAAATTACAAACTTCCTGCGCATGCGTCGCTTTGACGCATGCGCGTAAGACCTTTACGGCTGGTAAAAGTCCTTAAGATGAGGAAATGCTTTTGAAACTATGTTAAAAGCAAGTGCAGAAATATGGTTGCTGCAAACAGTATGTACGAAGTAAATATGAAATTGGCATTAATCTTGGTGTCATTTTAAACAACTGGAGTTCTTGAGTATTTATAAATGCTTCAAATTAATATTCTCATATTATCTGTTTAAAATTGCATATTTTTGTTTAAAGGACTAATCACTTTCTGAAGATTTGGTAAATAGAATTTTTAAATTCTGAAAAACGTAAAATAGCAATCAATTTGCCAAAATATCATTATATTTTTGCATAATTTCATTTGCTTATACACGGCATTTCAGTGCCCCCTTTTTTATTACTATGAGTTTTGAGACAAGCAATTTGATATACTTTACATTTTTCTTGTACAAAAAAAAGGGGGGCAGGACTTCAAATGTGTTCAGTGAAAACACTCAATAATTATTAAATGGAAATCATAATTTTTTAGAAGAAAATGATAAAGACGAGCAAATATACAGTTCAGTAGCATTACTGAACAATAGTGTTTCTTTAAACTTATACAATAATTTAAAAAATATGAAAATATAGATACCAAGATTAGCTTGGGTAAAATGCATATTCAAAAGCAAATTTTCATATCTTTTATATTAAAATTAAATTACACACAGAGGTTAATTTTTACAATACATCATTTGAATGTCAATACTTGGTAACCATAACCATGATGATAGTAAAGGGGGGTAACCAAATGGCAAACAGCATTAACTCTTTGAAGGGCACCGGTATAATTTTTTAACCTTGGAAAAAATGCTAATTTCTCTACACCAAAAGCTATAATTGTAAGTTTCTAGTATTTTCTTTCGATTCTAAATGGCAGCACCACCCTCTGAATGCTTAATATTTTGCAGTTATGAAATTAATATACCTCATTCCAAGGTATCATGTTCGAAGATTGATAAATTCTATTGGAGGGAAAGAAAAAAATTCAAAATCTGTAAATATATGACGTACACATGCTGAACCTTTTATATATATTGCATTTCAATCAAAACTGATAATTAAAAGAAGATTATGTATATCTTTTTAATAACGGTGCCCCTACTGCGGGTATCTTGCCAATAGATGGCAGCACCAGGCTTCTCCTTCACTACTGTGTGAGATGATGGCATTTCTTCGCATTATAATAGTTTATGATGTAATAAATTGTTTATAATTAACTTACAAGGTATATAGGATTCAGTATTACGTCCATGAAGGGATGGGGAGTTTACTGACCCTGCACTAGGACTGAATACAAGTATATTTGTTTCTTTTTATTCTTTTTTTACTCTGCTCAAGTTTCATTCGTCTCTATTTAGCTAAAATTTTAACTTCCGTACTTCACCCTTTCCCAAGAGAAAGACTCATCAATTTCAAAATTGCCATCTGGGGGTCAAAACTTTACACAATTGTAGGGGTTAAATGTGGCATGTTAGCCCCCCAAAAGACACCCGTTGCTTCGCATTTTCCAAAATCCTAGAATCCAACGAAAATGAAAGGAGGTTATTGACAACTGATTTGTCTTTCGGGAGTCATGCCTTCTTCCCTTTGTGTGGTGTGATAAGATCACACAAAGAGAAAGCTCAGTTAAAAATACAGGAAATGGAAGTGCACTTAAGGTCCATCTCTTACTGTAATCACAAAAACTGCTGATTTGGAAGCATGCTTTTATTCTTATCGTCTTTGTTAATTTCAGATGAAAGACTAAGGAATGAAGAGAAATTTAGGGCTAGGTTACAAATAGGTTGTTTTTGAAATAAATTTCACAGTTGGTGAAATGAGGGAAAATATTTCTAAGGCCCATTTTAGATGCAAACTAGAATTTATCCGAAAGCTGAAAAGAAGACCCTAGGAGGCCAAAGGAGTTGAAAATCGAAATAAAAGCTTTGAGGTGTATAAAATAATGAAGTTGTTTAACAGTGTCTTCCTGAACAAAAAGATATATTACAACCTATATTTACAAAAAATTAAAAAAAAAGGGGTCCTTACGGTCCTCTATAATCTAAAGTGTGTGTGCGTGGGGGGGAGGGGGCTATTCTTGGTATCATAGCATGAACCATGGTTTTTTTTACACATTATCTAAAGCATAAAATATGACTTCATACTTTCTTATCTGAGTCCTAGTGTTTCATTTTTTAATTTTTATTTTTATATTTCGGCTGTTATACCTCCTTGTAATATTATACTAGTTCAGTTGCAGCAGGATATGATTTACACATGCAGTGTCATATTTACTAATTTTTTTTATAAAATAATAATATCAAATTTAAATCAAGTTCAAAAGCTTTTTATCCATATTTTACATAAGTATGTTCAGCCGGGTTGCATCTTCAAAGGGCATAAAAACATAAATTTAATTTTTAAAATTTAAATTTCTACTGAAATTGTAAAAGTTTTTGCCTTTAGACTTACATAACTATATTTGAGCACACATCTCTACAGATGCACATTAGAAGTACACAAAATTAATTTAAAAAACAAAAATTAACAAATGGCAGCTACCTAGAAAAAAAATATCTCAGAGGGGCGCCAGTATAAAATATATACCGGCTCTAAAAGTTAGGATTTCACTCTAGATTTTTTTTAAGTCTCAATTTTGTGTCCTTAGGGTCCATAAGTTATAGTTCATGCAAAAATTTTACCACAATTTAAATTATTTTATATACCGCTCTTCAAAGGGTTAAATGAAGAAGTATTATTTTAAGTACAATTATTAGTCGTTTAAAAAAAAAAAAACACTGGAGATAAAGTGATTACTCATAGCGCTGGCTGGTTATTTCACTTGTACAAGTATCATTTGAACAATTAATAATATTATTCAAGATTATCATATTTATTCAAGAATGCAAAACTTAAAATGGAACAGAAAATGCTGCTAAAATATTTAAAGGTCAACCTATTATATTCGTGAAACAAATAAATAAGTGAAACACAAATTAAAGAAACATACCAAATAAAATATACATTAAAACTATAAAAAATTGGGAAAAAATACAATTAAAACCGAAACAAAATAAATTTTTGTTAATCTCCTCTTCAAACAGAACTTGTCAAGGGAAAAGCATTTTGAAGCCTTAAATCAAGTTAACTAATGAGGGTGACAGGCATGTTTCGTTCAAATGAATTCACTCGGACATTAAACCGTTTTAAATGTAATCTCGTATTATTACAAAATTAATCTCATTATAAATTCTCATTAAATTCACTTCTTTTCTCGACATTCCTTTGTACTCTATGTACATAACTTACATAAATGCAAAAAGAAAGTAATCCAAAAATTATTAAAATATCATGAAAAAGACAAAAACTGAAACTTCCTTTACAAAAATAAAGAACACGTTACAAATTAAATATTCAATAAATTTTCAGAAATGAAAATTACATTGAAAGTCCTATATAAAAACCAAAAACAAGAGCAGTCTTGGTTATTTGAAGTATATGAACACATGATATTTTAATGATACAGTAAAAAGTCCAAAATCCCGACTCATCGGGACTTTGGCGATTCCAGATTTGAGATTTTTCCGGATATTAGATCATCAGTTTAAATCTAGTAAGACGGCATGTAGAAATTATAAAATTAAAAATATGAAATCGTGATTTATGAAATAATGAAGTATTTATGATCTAAAGGACATCAAAATTTACAAAAAAAAAAAAAGCTTAATATTTATTTGTTTACCTTATTAAACATTTCTTTCAACGTAAGTTCTGTAAGTTGTTTCGTTTTTTGTACTAAAACTTTCTCTTTAATTCTAGAACATAATCTCTTGTTTAGTTACATTGTTGAAGTCCTGTAGCTGCTATTTCGAGAATTTCGACTAACTTGTCAATCGAAATTTTCTCGTTTTCAGTAACTTCTCTGTCCCTTTCTTCACTATCGGTAGCGGCATTTTCTGGATCTAAAACCCTACTACAGATTTTGCCATTCATTAATTGATTGACGATTGAGAAGCATTGTCATCCCAATGAAAAACTTCTTTTATATCATCTACATTTATCACCGCTTCTCCACAGTTCTTTACAAAATCCGTTAATTGGAAAATTTCACTTTTGTTTTGCGATATCCGAAAACCTTTAAAATTAGCGACTATATTCATCAAATTTAGCTATTCTTCACTATACATATTTGGCTTTGTATCATGAACTTGCCGACTAACAAGAGGTTGTTCCATTAAAGTTTATCTTGCTTCTATCACGCACTGAAACAATTAAGCCTGAATTGCATTAGTTTAGTTATTTATTAATATCTATTTCTTGCACATGCTTAAGCCCTAGCTGAATAAATAAATTCTCACCATATACTTAAGCCTTATTGAGGGCCGGTGCTAGATATCTTACCACCTGATGCAGTCTCTGTGGGTCCTAAATTCTGCGATTCGATGTGGCCATACGAGCCCTGGCCCTGGTTCTGGGTTTATGTGAATAAAAAATCAGTTATTCTTAATTCAAATAGCCCTAAATGTAATCTTTGGGTCTATGAGTATCAATTTAAATAAATTTTTCCTGGTCAACATTTGTAGGGCATTTAACTTAAATCTGTAATCATCACCAAGCGTAATGTCAACATAAAAGGTTATCCCACTCCTTTACTCAATTACTGACATAAAAAAAAAATGTTTAGGCATCGCTACACGAGCCATTACTCAATTTGTCATGTTTTGATAAACATGCGGTGATGAAAGGCAAGTATAATAGATAATTATTTGCCAGGTTGGTGTCAGATCAACGATGTATCTGTGTGGAATGTTTGATTTGAGATATATGCCAAGCAGATACGCAGCAACGGAGCCAAATTACTGAACTGATCATACAAATTTATGATAAAATGATTGTTTTTTCAATAACAAGGTATTTTGTTTAGGGTCGAAGTGAAATTAAGAATCGGGACTCTCCAAATGTTTTATTATGCACGGAGGGGGGGGGGAATCGGATGTGCATGCGTAACGCGTACATGAAAACGTTGATTATTTTTAGGTCCAGATTTTAGATCAGTCCGGATTTCGGACTTTGTACTGTATTTTGGTAATTTTTTTATTATGGATTTGCATTTATGTTAATTTTGCCCACACAAGATGAAGGCATGTCGGAAAAAGAAGTGAATTCAATGAGACTTTTTGATTAGATTAATTTTTCAATAATATGAGATTGCTTTAAAACGGTTTAACGTCTCAATGAATTCATTCAAACAAAACATGTCTGTTGCCCTCATTAATCAACTTGGTTTAAGGCTTCAAAATGCTTTTCCCTTGGCAAGTTTTATTTGAAATATTAAACAGAAAAGATTAACAAAAATTTATCTTGTTTTGGTTTTAATTGTATTTTTTCCCAGTTTTAATGTATATTCATTTGGTATGTCTCTTTAATTTGTGTTTCACAAATTTACTTGTTTCATGAATATAATAGGTCGACCTTCAAATATTTAGTGGCATTTTTCTTTTTCATTTTAAATTTTGTGCTCTTGAATAATTAAATTTAGCTGCACAATGAGCAAATTTCTTTCTAAATTGTTTTTTTCGTTTTCTAAACGCGGCTTAAATCCTATATATTTTCATGAATTTATCATAATGCGATATATAAAAATTCAGTTTTTGACAGCAATTTTGGCACTTGCATATTATTTTATCAACTGTGAAGTCTTCAAGCAGTGCAATTTAGTGAGTGACAGTTATTGATAAGTGCAAAGTAACAACACACTCATAACACTTGCTCTTTTGTTCGATATAACCCAAGACAAGTTCTGGATAAAGCCACATTTTGTCTTTCTGGACAAGAATACAAATTAACTGTTACTGCTGAATATTTTTCTTGGATTTTGAAAAGATTAAAATTTGGGAACTTTCTTCTACAGAACAGCATGCAGTGGATTATTTTCAAACTTACAGGATCCTAACATTAAAAAAAGTGTGTATGAAAGGACGTGGGTATGATCTGAGCATATGGCTGACAAAACAGTAATAAAATGGAACAAGTACCTGTGGAAAGTTAACATTAATATCTTTCTAAACAAAGCTCCCAATAAAATCAGACCTATAATAAAATAGTAAAAATTAACAAGTTTTTACAAAGTACAAAAACAAAGTGGGTTGAATAATGATTGTTTACTAAATTAATAGCCATTAGTTGCTTAAGAACACCACGGGAATTACTGCTATAACCTTGAAGGAATCTCCATCAACTTTCATAATTCGATGGTAGCCAACTTTCATGATCGACAGAATAACAGGAAAGTACTGCTGTTTTTAATCATCATATAAAATTATCTATTATTATTATGTATAGAAAAACTTAATACATTTAATATTACAATATACTATATTACATATTTTATGAAATATTTTAAGAAGACTTCTCAATACTTATATGTACTTCCTTAAAGGAAAAATTAAATAAAAATAAATTAATTAAATTTTAAATACTCACCAACAGGATGGGCCAAAAATACTATTTTGTTAAAAGTCATGTTTCACACGTTGCTTTGCGACAATTGTATAACCATTTGATGACCCTAGCATTTTTTTCTACAATAGAAGTTTCTAAATGCCCATGACCTCTCAGATCCTGATTCCTTAATCCTTCCCGTTGGATTTCAGGTGCGGAATCATCACTGCAAACACTTGACCTAGCTTCATTTGAATCAACTGAGCTAACACTTTCAAAGAAGCAAGGAGGACTGGAGACTAGAGATGGAGAAGTAATATGACGCCAAGCATTTGTATCAAGCCCCATAGTATCAAAGAATCTTTCAATTTCAGCACTGGTATAGTTATTAGTCCGTTTAGGAAAATACTCAGAGCATCTCTTCGAATAACGATGAGAAACGTCTGATTTTGACCTGCTAACTGGCCTCCTTTGAAGTTGATTTGATGCTGAATAGTATGGTGTAAGATGCAACATTCCTGTTCCATTAGAAAATCGTCTAGGTTCTTTATATGAATCAAAGACATCATCCTCTTTCTCAGTCTTTTTTATAACAGCAATATTTTTACCACTTAATTTGTGCTCAGGTATAAAATATCTAGCATTTTCTGTATGTTCAGTAATTAGAAGGTCACTAGAATCACCAGAAGACAAACTGGAAGATGGAACTTGAGCACTACAAGGAGAAGGTGAAAGATCTGGCATACTCTTATGAATGCAAACGTCTGCTTCTGGAGATACGTCTGACGGTATCCAACAACTTTTTCTAACTGGATCAGAATAACCTCTCCGTACCTTAGGTATTTCAGATGATTTCATAGTTTTAGACACAAGTTGAGCTTCGGTGTGAGCAGTGCCTGAAACTATAGTTTCTTGAGCCACAGCAATATTTTCTCTAGAGCCAGAAGTTATAAGCTGTTTCAGCTGTGATTCAATATCAATTAAAACTTCAATTCTATGCCGACTGCACTGGCTAGCGAAAGAGTGTTTCCGTACAATTGGTGCTTCACGATACTCGGAATGCGATTTGGCTCTAGCTCGCACTTTTGGTGGAGAATTAGTTATTTGCGAAGCAGGCTGATGATGGATTCGCAAGAATGAAAGTTTAACTTCTTCAGATGAACTTGTAGTTTTAGGGCTGTCAGGAGGATGTTTGGCAGGTGTCTTAAAAAATATATCTAACTGTGGACCAGTACTCACACGAAGATGGGAACTATTTTTAAATTCCTGTTTAGTGTCTAAAACTCTTTCTGATTTCACATAATTAGCTTTACTTTCTTCTAACCTTTCGACAGCACTTTTCCTGTTTGCTAAAAACAATAAAATAAAAAAGGTAAGACATTAACATTTAAATAGAATGCATACAAATACCTAAAAAAAGTCCTTATTAATAATGAAATTCAAACACATCACACACTTAGCAATTACAATAGTCATAGAAAATTGTTCGTTTTATGATCAACCAATGGTAAATAGTTTTTTTTTTTTTTTTTTTTTTTTTTTTTTTTTAAATGATAAGATTACTTATGGTTTTACACAGTTGCAATCTACATTAAAATTTTTAATGAGATCTAAATCTAAATTTTTATTAACTTCTGAATTTTCTAACATACTTAAATTATATGAATTGAAAGATGGCAAAATCATTCCACATGGTTAAAATTATTCACAGCTATTTAACATAAAGGTAATAAATCATAATGGTAATAAAATAAAAGGAAAAATTGCTGCAAAGATAGGCAATCCTGGTACCAAATCAACAAATCAAAGAAGAAAATCAGTTCTTTCTTCAATATGAACATTTGATAATTAAATTAGCTAGAAAACAACATTGCTGCTCTAAGCATAATGAAGTAAAACAAAAATATAAAATTTTTTATTTTTTGCAACTAAAACTAATTATTTTGAAAACAAGATTTAGACATCAGGAAATATGATGACAAATATGTCAATTAATAGTCCTAAATGAATTTAAGTATATTAGTTGTTCAAAAAAATTCCAGAAAAACATGTCTTTTTCATTTAGCAAAAGACTATGTTGCACTGTGAGTTTTTAAGGTAGCTAATGATCTGATTAATTGTACTGAGCACATTATGAATAATCTAAATGGTATTACACTAATTAAAATGATATAACACTACCACACTAACAGTAAAAATGCGTATACTTTTGCTTCTCCATAATACCTTTGCCAGCATCCATCACATATTAGTATCGGAACAAATTACGGAAAAGAAAAATATATACTAAAACCCCAAACATAATGTTACTGAAACATCCAGTGAATATCCAAACAGCAGCATAGCTACAACTTAAAAATACAGCAATATTTATGCATAGTTAACAGATAGAAGAAAATATACCTGACATCAAATAAATGTAGTTCCTATGCCCTCATTTAAGCATATGCTCAATAAGTTGGATTTAAATAAATTGGTTAAGTTGGACTTTATCGATGCAACATTTTTTTTCATCTAGCTTTTTGATTTTGCTATACTTATAAGTCATTCTCTACTGACTGCAGAGTGCATAAAAAGGAAAGAGAATCATGAAATTATGGAACACATGTTTCAAATTTTTTCTCAATGCAAGATGAACAGCAGTCTAGATAAACAGATGTCAGTATATATATTTTGCATAATTTTTGTGTTTCGTTACATATTCATTACATCTATGTGCATATATTAGTAATGTTTTTAATGTCTATTTTAACATCTCTCAATTTAACAAATTTTATGGTTGGATCATGTGATAAAATGTGGATTTGCTAAATCAAAGTTCTCAATACTAGATGTTCCCCATCTAAAAATTGGATTTTTAATGTTTAGACACAAAACTCAAAAGGTAAGCATAATATTTTTTCTACAGATGAAGCTTCCACTTATTATGTTTACCCACCTTAAAATGTCTGTTTACTTCATTAAAACAAATTCCATGCCATAAAAAAAAATTTATGAAACTTATTAATTTAACAATTTCTTTAAAGACGCATGTATAAGGATTTTGTCTGAAAATTCTATTTCTTTTAAAGATGAAATACATTTTAACTGACTGACAAATCTACTGTCTGATTATCAAGACACAATGCAAACAGTTTCAAGTAGTAGAAATTTCCACTAGCTTAAATTTCAAAAGATTTCATGCAGTTTTCAGCTGATATAGTTAGTAATGTGCATATAAGCAGAATATATATATACGTACAGCTGAACTGTAATATGTATATATTTGTTGACATTTAATCTTAACTTCAGGAATTGGAGTAATACTATAAAACTATGTACTTGCTTTTAATATATGTACATTAGATTTACGGTAAAGTTCACTTATGAATGCCATTTGAAATTTTGTGCAGGTGTGAGAATGAATGCATGTGTAAGCTGCCAGCAATCTCTATGCAGAATCCGACACTACTTGCATTCACAGTATCAGTTTCTATGCTTCATAACATAAGGTTAAAATGTTTAGGAAAATCAAGAGTTCTGTTGAAGATATACAGCCAGTCATCTGGTTCTTAACAGTAAGAAACATGAAATCTACAGATATTCATCATGAAATGTGTGAAGTGTATGCTGACACTTCACTGTCATCTTATGAGTCTTATCTGCCATCTGAAGATCTCCCTAGGCAGCAAGTATTTACACACTGATGTAAAAGTGAACATGATGATGAATAACTTCCAAACATTCATTGTTATGGCTTGCTGCTCATTACAATAAGCATTTAAACTAGCAAAACAAAACAAAAAAAAAACTATGCAGAAAAACAGAAAAGTGTATGTAGATTCAGAAAATAAGTAATTTTTGAAAAATTTTGTTTTTCTTTTATTGCAAAATTTGACTTTAAAAATAGCTGCCATTATCTTTATATATTGCATTACTTATCTTCCTTTTGTAACGAGTCAGTTCTACCAAACCAAAAATTAGGTTTTTACTTCATAAATTTATTAGATCACTGCAAGAAAATTATAAATCCTCTTTTTTAACAGTTTTTAGCAGGTGCGTGAAGCTGTTCACTAACTTTTTGCTTTTAATAGGCTTCCTCTTCGAATACATCTTTCTGTTTAACACGGTGAATGCACGATCTAGGTCTCAACGACTTTGCCCACGTTGTGCATAATTACCACAGACTTTAAAGCAAATATAAGTGTGAAGAGAGAAACCTAGCATTTTTAAAAAATAAGCAGGAAAATTGAGGCCAAAGTTCCCTCCTTTCCTGAGAGCAAGAACCAATAGACCAGCGGTCGGGGAACCGGGGTAAATTACCCCAAATGGGGTAAAAATGAAATTTTGGGGGGTAAAAATGAAACTTTTGTTAGTAAAAAGTATATATTTTTAATTTGCTATTTTATAAACCTGTTAGTATTTTTTTCAACTTAAACAATTTGAAAATTTAATTCAAGTATATTACAACTATTATTTTCTGTCTCCCTTCAGATGGCAGCAAATAGAAAAGAACATACCAAGACGAATTCCTTAATTACAGTTTTCCACAAACAGAAGACAATGGTACAATGAAACCACAGTGTGTTGTACGTATGAAGGTACTGACTTCAGTATCGTTCAAAAAAAGTCAATTGAAGAAACATTTAGATAATTTGCATTCACACCTGTCTTCCAAACCGCGAGAATACTTTGCAAATTTAGAAATATCTGTTAAAAGACAAAGATTGAATAGCAACTTGTTTGGTACATTTGATCAGCGTCAGTCAAGGGCTAGCTTTGAAGTAGCCTGGTTGATTGCTCTATTGGTGAAGATTTGGTTAAACCAGCTGCTGTAAAAATGGCAGAGATTATGTGTGGTCAAAAAGAAGTGAAGAAACTGAATTCAGTGCCCTTGTCTGCGAGAATTGTGAAAGAACAAATTTCTATATTAGCAGAAAATGTGAAGGAACAGGTTATTTCGCATTAAAGCAGGCTAAATATTTTGCTATTCAGTTTGACGAGACAACTGATTTTAGTAACAATTCACAGCTAATGGTATATGTTCGCTACAAAGGTGCAGATAATTTTGAAGAAGAATTGCTGTTTTGTTCTCCTCTCGAGTTGAGATCTCGTGGAATTGATGTCTACAATAAAGTAAATGCGCAAAGTTTAAAATGGGAAAACTGTATTTCTGTATCTTTGGATGGAGCTCCAGCTATGCTGGGTCATATTAATGGTTTTTCGGCTTTCGTAAAAAAAAAATAACCCAAATATTGAAGTTACGCTGCTCTGCAAGGGGGGGGGGACGTCGCAGAGTGAAATGAACTGGAAGTTGATCTGTCAGCACTATCCTTATCTTCAGGGCAGATATTTTTATTTTATTCGGCTTATAATGTAGTATTTCATCTCGATGTACTCCGTCTTTGATGTGATTCAAATCAAATTCCTCGTCATTATAAATATCACGAATACAAATCAAATAGTTTTCTGGTTGCAATTTTCTAATTTCGACCATGCGTAATGTATGCTTTATGCATGCGCGCGTTGAAAGAAATGTTTAATAAAGTAAACAAATAAAAATTAAGCTTTTTTTTTTTTTGTAAATTTTGATACCCTTTAGATCATAATTGCTCTTTATTTCATAAATTACGGTTTCATATTTTTAATTTTAAAATTTCTGCATGCCATCTTACCAGATTTAAACTGATGATCTATAATCCGGAAAAAAACCGATAATCCGGAATCGCCGAAGTCCTGAAGAGTCCGGATTAAAGACTTTTGACTGTATATAGTAATTAATTATTTATGCCCAAACTTCAATCCCATTCTAAGAATAAAACAGATCTCCAAAAAGGATGCATTATTATTAAACACAATCTAACATTTAAAATAATTATACAACAATTTGAAAATAAAATCAACTTCATAAAATTTATCAAGCAACTAGCATTTAACTACACAATTTCTTGAAATATGTATATTTTACAATGAAAATAGTCATATGTATTTTAAAGATGATTAGTGACATTTTATTCAAGTTTTACTAACAGTCAGCTTCATGCCAATTCTTTTAAGTCTTGTTTTGACAAATACAGTCCAAACGTTTATGCACATTTTATCTCCAGTGGCTTAGGTAAAATCATAATCAGCTTAAACATAACAGAAGCTGTTATCATTTCTGTTGCTTGATTACAGAAACAGGGCTATTGATCAGAACAGACATGAGTACTGGAAGTTACCAAAGAAGCTATGTGCTGATAGTTAATAGCCCTTTGTCTGTCTGATCCAGTTAGGGTCATAGCTTTGCTGGAATTGCAACCCAGTTAACCATCTGAGCAGTATTGGATTTTGGATCTGTTATGAAAACCTGTACCTAAACAGTATATAT